GTAAGCCACCTGACATGGGTGCTGGGAGCTGAATCTACGTCCTCTGGAAGAACAGTAAGCGCTCTTAACCTCTGAACCATCTCTTGACCTTCAGCTAAGGTCCTTGTCCTTCCACTTCTTCATCTGTAAGAGAGTTTTGTGCTGCAATGCTGTGACCAGGGCTCAGGAACCCATGGAGACAGGAAATGGCACTCAAGAGGTCTTTACCATACAGTGCAAGACCAGGGGAAGTGGCACTAGAGAGTTTCCTGGCCAGCTCACTGGACAGCTTGAGCAGCCTGCCTATACAAAGAGCCAACTGTTTGATCAATCACAGCCTCACCTCTAGTACCACAGTCATTAAGGCTTGTGGTTTGAAGCAATCACAGCCTTGCCACTAGGCATAGTAGTCCCTCCACCAGAAGTGCTCCCCCTCAGGCCAAGGCAGATGAAACTGCAAAAGCCCTGACGAGGACTGTGCCTTCTGGAGCCAGCATGATCAGTCACAGCCTTCCATTCTTTCAACCTTCCTGCTTTTCTCTTTCCTTCTTTTTTCCCCCTGTATATATATTTATTGTGTGTGTACATGTGGAGGCTTAAAGTTGACGTCAACCTGTAGTCTTCCACTCTCAATGTATCTACTCAGGTAGAGTCTCTTTGCTGGACCCTAAAGTGTGCAGATTCCAACTAGTCTGGCTAGCCAGCTTGCCCCTGGGATCCCCTGTCTCTGCCTCCCAAGTGCTAACAAGCAGAGAGCACATCTGTCCAGCTTTTACTTTTACATGAGTTCTGGGAGTTCAAACTCTAGTCTTCATATTTTCAGGTTAAGTGCTTTATTCACTGAGCCCTCTCCTCAGCCTTCTTTCTTGACAGGAACAAAACTCCTGTAGCTCAAGCCTTGAACTTGTTATGTAGTATGGCTGGCCTTGAACTTGTTATATAGTATGGCTGGCCTTGAACTTCTGTTCCTCCTGTCTCTACTTCCCATGTATTATTATCAGCTTTGATTCTTTGCATAGTTGTCTCAAGATATCCTTGGGGGTGCTCAAGATGGTGACTTCAGGCATGAAGATAGTTAGGTTATTTGACTGATAATCCTTTTGCTTAAAGCAAAGAGAGTCCAAAAGCTTCTAATTAGGAAGGCAAGTCCCCCAACCCCAGGGTATTTGTTTATTTACAAGAAAAGAAACATCACAAGGAGCGCTTACAAATATAAACCTAGAGACCACACTGCTAACACAAATGGCAATTTTAACTATACTTAACATTTGTTGAGTGCCCAGGGAGAAGTCTGGTTCTCTTGTCTGTCTCAGCAGTGGAGATTAGAGAAAAGATTCCTGATCTACACCCTTAAGGAACTGTATTCAAGTATGAAGCAAATGAAATGCAGGAACAGATGTGTATGTACGAATTTTTAAGGTTTAAATTTTTTTTTTGAGGCAGGGTCTCACAATACAGCCCAATTGACCTTAATCTTCCTGCCTCAGCCTCCCAAGTGCTGGGATTACAGATATGTTCCCCAATGCCTGATGGCTCAGTTACATGCTTAAATGTGGAAAATACATAAAAGAAAATAAAAATATTTGAATCCTATCACCCAGAGATAATTATCAATACTCTGTGTTCTTGATTCAATTTTATTTTGGGGCACATATATACATTTTTTCCTTTGCCAAATAGCAACTGCCTATGGAAATAGCTGTGGCCTGCTTTCTTAACCTAATATTTCTCATATTACTCAATGTCTATCCTACTTTTCCTGTTGCTGTGACAAAAATACCATGACAAAAGCAATTTAAGGGTTTGTTTTGGTTCACAGTTTGTGGTGCAGTCCATCATGGCGGGGTCATTAAGAGCAAGAGCTTGAAGCAGCTGGTCACACTGTCCAGTCAGGAAGTGATGAATGCTTGTGCTCAGCTCACTTCCCCTCTTTACAGTCTAGGATCTCATCCCAAGGAACAGTGCCACCACCATGGTGGGTCCTTCCACTTCAATGAACCTAATCAAGACAATCTCCCACAGACATGCCCAGAGGCTGTCTCCTGCATGATTCAAGATCTGAGGTTGACAGCTGAGATTAACCATCACAATGTCTTAATCCTTTAAGTAACCAACTTGGATTTTTTGGGACCTTTATAGTGCATTTAATTTTTCACAGTAAATAACCCTATGATAAATACATTGTAAGAACGTGTGGGTTTTTTTTCTTAACAAAATATTTTTTGAAAAAAAATTTGGGGGCTGCCGGGTGTAGTGGCGCATGCCTTTAGTCCCAGCACTTGGGAGGCAGAGGCAGGCGGATCTCCATGAGTTCAAGGCCAGCCTGGTCTACATAGTGAGTTCCAAGACAGCTGGAGCTACAGGGAGACCCTGTCTCAAAAAAACAAAACAAAAACAAAAAAATATTGGGGGCTGGAGAGATGGCTCAGTGCTTAAGAGCACTGACCACTCTTGCAGAGGACCAGGTTCAATTCCCAGCACCCACTTGGTGGCTACCAACCGTCCTTAACTCCAGTTCCAGGGGAATCCAAAGCCCTCTTCTGACCTCCACGGCATTGCACGACACGGGTGCACTCACATACATGCAGGCAATACACTCATACACATAAAATAAAAATAATATTAAAAAAAAACAAAATTTTTTTAACTTACTTATTTTTATTTTATGTATATGTTTTGTCTGCATGTATGTAAGTATACCACATATGTGCCATGTCTATAGAGGCCAGAAGAGGATGTCAGATCCCCTGGAACTGGAGTAACAGATAATTGTTAGCTGTCATGTGGGTGCTGGGAATCGAACCAGGGTCCTCTGGAAGAACCCCAAGTGTTCTTAACCACTGAGCCATCTTTCCAGCCCTGTTAACAGCAAATTCTTAACAGTTGAACACCTAAACTTACGTGCAAATTCCTAAGGCTTCTCTCTCTCCTCTCTCCCTTCCTCCACCCCCCCTTTCTTCTTTTCTTCTTTCAGTGTTAGTGATTGAACCCAGGGTCTTGCTTATGCTAGGCAAGTGCTCTCCACTGAGCTCTGTCCAAGCCCTTCCTGATGTTTTGGTCTCTAAGACCAACTTACCTACTATGTTCCCTGTACCAGTTTACACCTCTCTGTCCAGTAAAGTTGAAATTGTTGCTGTCCTACATTTTAGGGTCCAAAACTGCCATCTAACAAACATCTGATCAATATGAGGTAAAAACTACCACAAAAGTAAAAAGATGTTTTGCTTTTTTAAAAAAAAAATTTTTCTTGGGTTGGAGAGATGGCTCAGATCACTGGCTACTTTTCCAGAGGACTCGAGTTCAATTCCCAGCACCCACATGGCAGCTAACAACATTTTAAAAAAGGGTTTTTTCTTTTATTTACTTTTATTTTTATGAATATTATGCCTGCATGTATTTAAGTCCAAGTTCACCCATGTTGTTCCAAACAGGCAAGATTTTCTGATATTTTTTTAAGGCCTACTTTACAAATCAGAAAACTAAAACTCAAATAACTTACCAAAGGTTACACAGTTAATAAGTACGGGTGCTAAAATTCTGATACTGGGGGCTGGAGACATGGCTCAGTGGTTAAGAGCACTGGCTGTTCTTGCAGAAGACTGGGGTTCAAATCCCAGCACCCACATGGCTGCTCAACTGTCCGTAACTCCAGTTCCAGGGGATCCAATACCACCTTCTGTCCTCCTCAGGCACTGCACAACACGGGTGCACTTACATGCAGGCAATATATGCATACACATAAAATAAAAATAATAAATAATTAATACTTTAAGTGAATAAAATTCTGATACTCTAGCCCAGACTCCAGGGATTAGCTCAAACTGCAGAATTGTTTCTGTTGGCTTCTACTCTCCCTCATCAGATTTTCAAAGGCAACGTCTATTTCCCTTTTCTAATTAATTAATCTGTGTGTGGATGTGTGGGAGTGGGTGTACCCATGCCACAGCCTATGTCTGAACATCAGAGGACAACTTGTGAGAGTTGACTCTTTCCTTCCACCTCACGGGATCCAGGGATGGCACTCAAGTCAGCAGGCTTTCACAGCAAGTTTTATCTGATAAGCCATTCCTCTAGTCCCTACCTCCCTGTTGACTTACAGCTATGTAGGAAATTTGTCTTTATTCCAAGAGATTAGATTATGTGATTAACTTTTAAAATGTTTTAATTACATTTATTATTTTGTGTTTGTGTGTGTGCACATGTGTGTGTGTGCATGTGCGGAGGTCAGAGGACAACTTCCACAAGTTGGTTTTCTCCTTCTACCATGTAGGTCCTGGGGCTCAAACTCAGCTCATTGGGCTGGGAAGCAAGTTTAGTATTTTTCCAGTTTTCAGTGATATGAAATCTACTATATAATCTAACCTCTTGGTGGCTGTTTTTTGCCTTGATGTCTACTTTATTGACCTTTAATTACAACTAACAATGAACTTACCCAGTTCCACCTTCTGTACTAAAAGTTTCCCACATATTATCAAAAACAATTTTTAAAAATATTTTTTGATTTACGTATGTGTATGAGTGTTATGCCTGCACGTCTAAGTGCACCTGTGTTGTACAACGCAGTTGGATTAGCTGCCATGTGGGTGCTGGGATTCAAACCTGAGTCTTCTATAAGAACAGTCAATTTGCTTAACCACTGAGCCATCTCTCTAGCCCCTATGAAAAACAATTCTAAGGATAGGTGTGGCTCTACATTTTATTGGAACTGGAACTTACGCAGTATTGAGGGATTTCTTAGAAAAAATATAAAATTATAGGAGCTGGAAAGATGTCTCAGTGGTTAATAGCACTGACCACTCTTGCAGAGGACCCAGGTTCGATTCCCAGCACCCACATGGCAGCTACAAACCGTTCTTAACTCCAGTTCCAGGGGAATCCAAGCCCTCTTCTGACCTCTGCAGCATTGCACAACACAGGTGCACTCACGTACATGGAGGCAATACACTCATACACATAAAATAAAAATATAAATATTTAAATATAGAGTTATAAACACAAAATTAGGTACGATGGCAGATGTTTATTTAGGACAAGAAAATAAATCATAACCCATTAAGAGATCTTTCTGGCATTTAGAAGAAATGCTTCCTGATTGTAATCTGTCCCGTTTAGAAAACTACAACTTCGCAGCAGCCTCTGCAGGTCAAAGTAGGGCTCCTCAGCTCCACCAGAGGGAAGGGTAGGCTGATCACCACCTCTCCCCATAGATGAGAAAACTGTAATTTGATAAAGTTGCTCGACGTTGTGAAGTCAGAGTATCAAAATTACACAATGTACTCAGAGCAGTCGCTACGGCTATACTCCGCTCCATTAATGCCCCTGACCTTACACGGCTTTCTCTATAAAGATGGTGGGGATTGGGGGGGGCGGTAGAGGGGACGGACCTAAAGTAACAGAAAGCGATCAAAGCGGCGAGAAACACGAGATGAAGCCCCAAAAGAGAGGTGAAGAGGCACAACGTGCACAGTCTAGTGGTAAAATTCGCCTTAGGGCCGAAGGGGAGAAACTTAAAGGCAGAAGTAAACTGAGGCAGGAATCTGAGCGAGTTGCCAGCACCTGGGCCCTTTTACTCAGTGGCGGCGGAGGCGACAGGCCCGGGGGTCCTTTCCAAGCATCACCTAGCAGACCTCGTCCGCTCCGGGCGCCGGAAGGGGCCGGCTCCTCTCGGCCAATGGTTGCGCGGTGCGCCGTCCGACGGTGGCCTGCGCGGCACCCGTAAGACGCCGGCGCGAGACGACGACAGCCTTCAGATCGCCCACGCGATCTCCCACGGCCGCGTGGCAAGGAGCCGGCGTGTCTTCCCCGTCTCTGCCCAGCTTATCACAATGCCACCCCGCCTTCAAACCAAATCTCTTTCAGACAGCGCGGCCACCCTCAAAAACATGGTGAACCGCTCTTGGAGGGAAAGCCGGAAGTGAAGCGTGTGGGCGGGGCCTCTGCGGGGGCGGGGCCTCGCGCGGCGCGGGCGGGGCCTGCCTCTTTGAGCTGGGTTTGGGGTCTGGTTTCTCGTCCCTCTCCTGGGGGCGGGTCCACACTGGCTCCGCCCCCACCCAGGTGGCTCCCAGCTCCTAGGTGCCTGCCTGGTCTCCGGGATCTGGGTGCTGTGAGCCCTTGGAGCCCGTGTCCCTCTGCGGCCTCCCGCCAGCAGCGATGGAGGGTGCCCTGGAGAACGACCCTAAGTCCACACCTTCGCCTTCCGAGTCTACGCAGCCGCCCGGCCCGGCAAGAGCGCTCAAAGTGGAGCCTCCTGGGGACGCCGAGGGCTGCGTCCGGCCGCTGGAGACGGCCCCCAAGAAACTCTGTGGCTATTTAAGTAAGTTTGGCGGCAAAGGGCCTCTCCGGGGCTGGAAGTGCCGCTGGTTCTTTTACGACGAGAAGAAGTGCCACCTGTATTATTCGCGGACCGCTCAGGATGCTAATCCCCTAGACAGTATCGACCTCTCCAGTGCGGTCTTTGACTGCAAGGCGGACGCTGAAGAGGAGGGCACTTTCGAAATCAAGACTCCCAGCCGGGTTATTACCCTGAAGGTAAATGGAACGCTCCCTCTTTTCCAGCTGGATCGAGGCCCCAGGGCACGACAGGGCGCAGGTGTGTGGTCACTGTAAACTCCACCGAGTGCCGAGAGCTTGGAACTTTCTAAAGAGTCTTCACATCCATTTCCTCATTGCCTTCCTACAGACAAGGGTGAGGAACTTGTTTTATAGATCAAGAAACTGAGTCATAGACAGAAGGGATCAGGCATGGTGTGGACCATGCTTCAAATCCTCACAGTGCTCTCTCAAAACTTTACTTTGGGGGTGCCTAATACCCCCAAATGTCCCACAGGCATGGGGTGTGGACCATGCTTCGAATCCTCACAGTGCTATATCAAAACTTTACTTTGGGGGTGCCTAATACCCACTTTTCTTAACTTCCTTCTTTGGTACTGAAGTAGTCAAGATACTGTGATTGCAATCTATAAGGGCAGGATCTGATTCATGCCTTGGTGTTTTGGCGGAGGGGAGTGAATGCTGACCTGGGCAGGGGTTGGGAAAGTAAACATGTAGGTTTACTGATCAGCCTAGATTGTTCATCTGGGCATGTTTGAACTAGTGAGTCCTTAGCAAATGTTTATTGAATGAACACACATGTACATATAGGGTGATGGAACGGAGATCAGAACTATCATGTCAAGAGGAGGTGTCCTCTTACCTGACTGGAAAGACAGATGTGGGCTAAGAATTCAGTGGGTATCAGAAAGAGTGGGCAAGGAGGAAGCCCCACCCAGCTATCCCCCACCTCATTTCTATCTCCCTATCCCCTAAACCTCTAGCCCCCAGTCCAGGCATCAGTATACCCATAGGATTACTTCTCCTTTCCTGGTGGAGCTTGGCTAGTTGACTAGGACAGAGGTCTCCATTAAAATCATGGAAACGCAGACTTTCAGGCCAGAAAGGACATTTTAGAGGTCATGTAGGTCCCAGGTCTTGTGTCTCCTTCCACATGTTGAGTGCTTCTGGATAGGGCTTCCCAGCACATGTTTTTTACTATTTTATTAATCTACACATGTACCTGGCTCTGCCTCTCGGATGTGAAATAAGTCAGACCTGCTCCCCTCCAGCCTTCCTGCCCTGACAGTTTAAGGTGTTTTGGGAGAAAATAATGGAGAAACTGTCAGACACAGTTAAATGGCGCCTATGGAGATGCTGTGAGGCTTTTGTGTAGGAACAGTATAGTGACAGGAGGGGTCAGCTCCTCCTAATGAGGGAGCTTTCCAGAAAGGCATCAGATAAGTGAGAAGAGGGGTTTTGACAAGCAAAGAAGAGGGCGAAAGATGCTGAGAATACCCTGTAAGCAAAGATGGAAAAACAGTACAGCCACAAGTATCCAGACAAGTCACTGGAGCCTGGGATACATATAGGAACCCAAAACATGGAACTGAAGGGGGAGGCATTCATGACAGGCTCAAGGACTTACACTTTGTCCCACAGGCTATGGAGATTCTCAAAGAGCCTTAAACCAAGGAAGCAGAATGAGATTAGAGGGTTTAGAAAGCTCAGCCTGGCTGTTGGGCAGAAAACAAATTGGGGGAAGGGGAAGCTGATAGGCAGGCCATCAAGAGGTAGCCAGGAGGGATTGATGGCTGAGCTAGAACTGTGGCCCCGGGGAGAAGGCAGGTAACAGTGACCAGGGGTGTTAGGTAAGTAGAGTGTAGAGGAGATGGTAACTGACTGGCTGCCGGGTTGGGCCAGTGCTGAAAGGAGAGAACTCAGGGTGAAAGAACTGTAGGATATCCAGGTCTGTGTTCCCTGAGGTAGATTCTGTGGGCCAGGAAGATCTAAGGACACTTGGTGAACCTCAGGTGACCCAGGACCTTGTCATCTCCAGGGCCTAGCATAGAGCAGCTGCTCAGTATGAACATGTCAAATGAATTACAGAATAAGATGAGGTGCTTGGTTTTAGGCTCAAGCTTGCCAGCATTAAGGTCATAGTGAAGTCCTGAGGGTTGTTCAAGCTTCCGAGGACCAGAGTACGGAAAGAAAAGACTGGTGAGCATCATTCAGTTTTTGTTTTTGTTTTTTTAAAATAGGGTCTCACTACGTATCCCTTGGTATGCTAGAATTCACTGTGTAGACCAGGCTGGCCTCAAACTCACAGAGATCAACCTGCCTCTGCTTCCCGAGTGCTGCACCACCATGTCCAGCCATCATTCAGTCCTACTGATACCTACATGACAGGCTGAGGGACTCTCATAGAAATGCCACCTCTCCCTACCTAGGTCACACCTCATCTGTGGCCCTCTTGCCCTGGCTGTCCCAGAGTCTGTGGCCATTCTCATGTAGTCTTGATTGTGGGCAGTCCTGTGAGGCTCACCATCTACTCCCAGGTACCATCCTCTGTACCTACATAAACTCATGCCTTTTCTACATAAGCCACACATCTTCTGGTCACAAATTAAAACAAAGTTCTGGTCTAGAAGTGGAAGACCCAGTTTCTGGGACCAGCACTACCACCATCTGCCTGGGCCACTTCAGAGCCTCATGTCTATAAAAAGGGCTGGTCACTCCTGCCTGCCCTCCCTCCTAGAGAATCCAGCAAACTAATGAATGTAAAAGCAGCAATTTGGGCCCTCCAATGCTGGGAAATTAATGAGTGGCATCAACTGTTATGTTTGGAATGGTGGAGGGTGCCACCATGTTTTTGTAGTATGTATGTGGCTTTCCTACCCATGTTCATGCCCAGGAGTTCAGTCTGTCCCCACAGCAGGAAGGATTACCTGTATCCCACAAAGAGGCAGCTGAGACTTAGAGATGTCACACAAGGAGATGGTGGTAGCAGAGGCCCTCCAGGCCACAAAGCTCCTTCCTCTCTCGTGGCATCTCTCTTTCTCTGTCCAAGGAATACATTTTATGTACCTGCCATATGTCAGGTACTACACTGGGCACTTTATTTTTTGTTTTTTGTTTTGTTTTGGAGAAAGTCTCCCTGTAGCCCCAGCTGGCCTGGAGCTTGCTATATAGACCAGGCTGGCCTTGAACTCACAGAGATCCACCTGTCTCTGCCTCCCAAGTGCTGGGATTAAAGGCGTGCACCACCATGCCCAGCTGCACTGGGCACTTTATTTCCCTTATTCTGTCTTCATTACCACTCTATGAAATTGGTAGTATTCTCACTATAAAATAACTGAGGGAACTGAAGCACTGAGACATCAAGGAGCCCCTGAACAAGAAACCAGAGCCTGGTTGTCTTGCATAACCGAGAACCATGTGGTATTTCAGAAATAGATACCAAACCACAATGGCAGTGGTGGGGTTTTTTTTTTTTTTTTTTGTGGTTGTTTTATTCTGGGAAGGAGAGATACAAAGCCTACTGTGACCTCCAAAGGCCATGCCCAGTGCCATCCTGTAAACCTGAGCCCTTGCTAACTAATCCTTGTGCTCCTCAGGCTGCCACCAAACAAGTGATGCTGTATTGGCTGCAGCAGCTGCAGATGAAGCGCTGGGAATTCCACAACAGCCCACCTGCACCTCCTGCTACTCCTGATGTTGCCCTGGCTGGGCATGGGCCCACCCTGCACCTCGAGCTAGGTACCAATGGGCTAGCCTCCTGCTACATACCCAGGCAACTGATAACGAGGCCTTTCCCCTGCTGCTGGGAGTGAGCGGGAAGGGTCCTCAGCCAAGAAGTACAGCCAGGTATGGAAGTTAGGATTAGTTAGGGTGGGAACGTGGACTTTGGGGCCAGGATGCCTGGGTTTAAGTCCTAATCATTAGTGATTTCAGGCAAGTTCCAATCCTGCCTCAGCTTCAGTCTCCTTCCCTATAAGATGAACTTGATGAATTCTACCTACCTTCGTGCTTTTATGAGGGTTAGATGAATCAGTGTATGTCAGACAGAACATGTCTGCACATGGTCAGAACCCAGGAGACCATTATGATGTTCCTGGGACACCTCAAGAAATAAAACTTGTTCAGAGTTGGTATGGGGTGGGGGTTTTCAATATTTTGGCTTCTTACACAAAGGCTTGTGTGCAGAGTTGAGTATATCAGTTACTTTTGATTCTAGTGTTTCACAGAATAGATTTCTTTGTCCCATGATGCCCACAAGTGAAATTTCTTTTATTTACGTGTGTGTGTGTGTGTGTGTGTGTTACTGGAGATTGAATCCAAGACCTCATGAATGCTAGGCAAGCACTCTACCACTAAGCTGCCATCCCTTGCCCTTGGGTTTGGGACAGGCAGATTCTTGTTATATAGCCCACACTGGCCTCAAAACTCTCAATCCTGCTTCCCTTTTGCTAGGATTATAGGAATGCACCATCACATTCTACCATGAGTGCAGTGTCTTCATCTCAAATTCTAGAATATCCCACACTTTGCTACCACTGTGCTGTGGCCAGGAACGTGACTGACAGGTTTCAGCATGGGAATAGACCATCCCACAGCTGCTGCTTCAAGAGCACAGACAATCAAGTCCCCATGCAAAGTCATGTCTAGCTGGCCACAACTTCAGTTGACAGGCCAGTTAGCAAGGGGAGGGCTGTGGCCAGGTGCCTCATTACCTCTGTACCTGGATGCTTCACATGTCTAGCACTGACCACATCTGCTATAGGAGTTCTGCTTCCCTTGGTAGATGGCCCCTGTATGCCCACTTACCCCCACAAAAGAGTACCACACTCTACCCTTCCTCAGTCTCTACTCAGTTCAGTCAGGCACCACCTGGTCTTCTTGTCCTCTGACCTGTATATCAGTTCCAGGTCCCCTCACTGCCATTCCCTGGGTTAGATCTCATTTCTCAGCTAGAAAATCAGCAGCTTCCTCCCCAGTGCCCCATATCAAGGTCCACGTCTGAACCTGTCCCCTTACTGCACTCTGAGTGAGCTTTAACTCACTGCAATGGGCAGGTTCTTGCATGGTGTCTAGGGCTTGCCTCTCTTTTTTTCCCTTTTGAGACAGGGTCTCTCTATAGACCAGGCTGACCTCAAATTCATAGTTCTGCCTCTGCCTCTCAAGTTCTGGAATTAAAACCATGCGCCAGCACGTCTGGCAAGTTTGCCCCTCTTGATCCCACTTCTGCCAGCACCCCAGTATATACCTGGTGCCTACACTGTAGCAGGAGGGCCTGCTCTCCCTCTTCTTTGCCTGGTAAATTCCTGCTTATTCTCTAAGGTGAAGTTCATGTCACCTCCATACCATCAGTCTCCCCTTGGATGTCTTCTGCAACTTTGCCTCCTGGATTTTGTATAGGCCTTGACAGTATTCAAACATCACTAAGAGACCTGCCACATAGTGTTCTGATGAGTGTAATGTCAGTCTCTACCCACTACCCCTTAAAGGTAGCAACCATTTCTTTGTCACCTGTCCCTAGTCCTTGGTGTTCTGTATGGCACAGTAGATATTTGTAGAGTGAATGTGAGAATAAATATATAAAGGATTATAAAGTGTAATGTCAGGCACACAGGCCTAGTACATGGAATTTTATGTGTGTATATGTGTGTGTACTATACTCCCAACACTGTTGTGGCCAGGAACCTGACTAATAGGTTTCATAAAAGACCACCCCACAACTGCTGTACTATTGTCATACACGCACATAAACATAAGTGCTATAACTATCATAATAATGCTATTAAACTAGTACACACATATATACTATTACTGTCATAGTGGTGCACAATTGTACGTTGTTACTAGCATAACATATGCTAATGCTGTCACAGAAATACATGCATATGTTATTACTATCATAACAACACATGCTGTTATTATATGTATGTATGTGCTGTAACTATCATAATAGCATACACATGTTATTGTTATAATAGTACAGATACACTATTATTGTTCAATAATACACCCACACAAGTACATGTTATTACTATTATAGCAACATCTTTCCTCATTATGATAATCATCAACTTCAGGCAGCTTTTTTTCTTTTCTTTTGTGAGACAGGATCTCATGTAGTCCAAGCTGGCCTTGAACTCACTGTGTAGCTGAGCCTGTCTTGGAAGTCCTAATCTTTCTGCTTCCGCCTCCTGAGTGCTGGGATTACAGGCGTGCGCCACTATACCCAGCTTCAGGCAGCCTTTTGAAGGGTTTCTCTGCACCTGTACTACTGGAGATCATACTCCCTTTCCCTCACCAACAACCCAGTGTATGTGGAAAATTGTAGCCTGAGTTGACACAGGTGTCAAAAGCTAACTTCAGACCAGAGACAAGGAAAACTCCTCCTTCCTGTGTGTGTGGAACTGAACTGTGAAGAACTAGGTTGTCAGAAGCCTAGTATGGAACCCTACTGGCCTCTGCAACTATAGCAGACCTGGTCCAAATTCTTAATTCTCTGACTTTGCTTCAGTGCACATGGCTGGACTGGTGTTTAGGGCTAGCCTTGCTTTGGCCATGGGGCAGGCAATATGGTGGCCATATGATCAGGGTGCTGATGTGCCTGGGAGAATGTTGGCCTGAGGTTTGGGAAGCAGAGATATGGACTTCTACCAAAGACTTCTCCATCTCACAGCAAGCCTACCTCTCTTGGATGAGACCTGAGTGGAAACTTTCTACAACACCCCCACCCCTGTCTGCACACACAGAAATACCTTTATGGAGTCTCTTGTGTTTTTTGCTGTGCAGCCCATGCTGGCTTCAAACTCAAGGTGATCCTCCTGCCTCAGGTCCCCAAATGCTGAGATTGCAGGCATTTGCCACCATGCCCACCTCCTTTCTGGACTTGAGAAAGCTGGCAAGCCTTGGCTTTGCTGTTTGGAGCAAGCTGCTCCACCTCAGCCCTTCCCCACCCTTCCTGTGGAAACAGAAGGCTTCAAAAGCCTCCTGACCCACTTCTGACTTTGAGTCACAGAGGCTCAGTCCTGTAACAAATGTCCCGTAACAGCCCTTGAGCAATCTACAAGGCGTGTTCTATACAGCCTTTTAGCATTTAGTTTTATTCCTACTTCACCTCAACAGTGGTCTCAGAGCCAAGAACAATCAAAGGATAAAAAAAACAGATTTCTATAATAATACATTGCCAAAGTAAGCAACAGCTCACAGAGGAAATTCATAAATATCTCTCATCAGAAAACATGCATCCTATGTATCAGCACGGCTCTAGCAGTTGGCAAGGCTCGTCTTATTTAGTCCTTAATCTGATGAGTGTTATTCTCATTTTACAGAAGAGGAAGCTAAGGCTCCCTGAGAAGGAAATGCCCACCCTGAAATTTGAACTGCAGTCTGCAGGCCCACACCCCAGAACTGAGGAGGGGTTCAGGGAAGCAGCAACCCCCTGGACTAGTCCCTTTTTTGTGTAGACAGTGTCTTCCTTGTGATAGGGAAGCCCCAAGCACTCAGGCAAAGGAGAATTCTGAAAGAAAGCTACTGAATACTCCTTTGCCTGAATTTTAAAATTTCTTTGTAAATGTCTGTTTTCAGTAAGTATAAATTTGTTTTCTGTTTATAAAAGTGAGTCTAAACTGTTTACTGTAGCAAACTAAAGGGGAAAAACACTAAAATGAGAGCAGCCTGCTGACTCACAATCCAGTCATGCCACTACAATCACTCTTGAGATCTTGATCTTTCTTTCTTTTCTTTTTCTTCTTTTTATTGTATGTGTATGAGTGTTGTGCCTGGATGTATTTAAGTGTACCCCTGTGTGCAATGCCTGTGGGGGCCAGAGGTGTTAGATTCCTTGGAACTGGTGTTTTGAAGGGTTGTTAGCTACCACACGGGTGCTGGGAACCAAACTGAGGTCCTCTGCAAGAGTAACCGCTGAGCCATCTCTCCAGCACCTACCCCCCCCTACACACACACACTTATTTTAAATCTAGGAACTTGAACCCTGGATCTTGCACATGCTAAGAAAGTGCTCTGCAATTAAGCAACCTTCCTAACCCTCACAGAGTCTATTTTGAAACTTTTCAATGTAATTGAGACCAACTGTAGCTCCAATTTTTTGTCTGGCCCTTCCCATTTAATATTGTGTTCCTTGTGTTCTTTAGGGAAGAGAGTTTCACTGTATAGCCCAGGCTTGCCTTGAACTCACAGCAGTTCTGCCTCAGTCTCCTGAGTCCTTGGATTCCTGGTATGAACCATTCTGCCCACTTTTCTTGTATTCTTGTCTTTTCTTCTATTATTTTTCTTCTTTGAGAATTTCAAACAATGTATTCTGATCATATCAATCCTTAACTCCTCTCAGATCCACTCTACCTCCACTAACTCCCAGCTTCATGTTCTCTCTCTCTCTCTTTTTTTTTTTTCCAATTTAATAGCCCACCAACTCTAATCTCTGCTGTCCACAAACTTCTGGGTTTCGGATCATTTACTGGAGATGGTCAATCTACCAGACATCATTTTACATAGTTGAGCAATAGTTTATCGCTGTGAAGACGTCATAATTTACCTAACCTGCTTCTGAGTTGTAAGATCTTACTTTCTACCTGAGCTTGGTGGTGTATATGTGTAATCCTACCTACTTGGGAGTCTAAGGCAGAAGAAGCATGGACTACAAGCTCAAATCTTGTCTAAACTAGAGCTACAGTAGATAAAGTGTTACCATGTAAGCATGAGGGCCAGAGTTCACATCCCCAGAACCCATATAAAAGCTGAGTGGGCATGGCACCCCACCTGTAATCCTGACTCCTGGAGGTAGAGACAGGATCCCCAGGACAAGCTGGCTAGGTAGACTAGCCTTATGAGCAAGTCTACTCTCTGGATTCAGTGAGAGACCCTGCCTCAGTAACCGAAGTGGAAAGAGATAAAGACACCTGACATCAAACTTTGATCTCCACACAGGCACATGCACACATGTGGATGTGCACCCATACACATGCAGACACCCACACACGATGCACCACATGCACGCACACACGCACGCATGCACGCACATGTCAAAAATAAAACAAAAGCTGCAAAAAGTTATTTCCACTTTGAGGTAGTGCAAATGATGCTGGGATGGACCCCTAGGTACATGAAACTTTCTCTTTCAGACGTCTTTCACATGGATTCTCAGATACAAAATACAGGCCTACATGTTCCTAAAGAGTTTCCAGAAAGGGGGCTGGAGAGATGGCTCAACAGTTAAGAACACTGACTGCTCTTGCAGAAGACCTGGGTTCGAATCCTGGCACCCACACATGGCAGCTAACAACTGTCCGTAACTCCAGTTCCAGGGGATCCGACAGCCTCTTCTGTCCTCTGCGGGCATTGCACGACACAGATGCACTCACCTACATGCAGGCAATACACACATACACATAAAATAACAATAATAAATAAAATATTTTTTTTAAAAAGAGTTTCCAGAAAGGCCACAGCAGCAAATCACTTTACAGCCTCCTTTGCTGTTGTCAACCTGCAGCAGGCTTGCTAGCCAGGCAGCTGCCCCAGCCCTGCCTACTATCAGTCAGAGTTAAGCCCAAAGCCCAGGACTAAGTCTTTCCTAGTGACACACTCTACTTCATGCCAGGACTGATCACTTGTCTTTGGCTCCCTAGGACAGGAGGAGGCAGAGCTGGAGGAGTTCCTGTGCCCTGTGAAAACACCCACTGGACTTGTGGGTGCAGCTGCAGCTTTCCAACCTGTCCCTGCCATGCCCTCAGCCCTTCAGAACATCTCCCTCAAGCACCTGGGAACTGAAATACAGTAAGTACCAGGGGGATGAGAGGCAGCCAGGTTACCAGGATCCCTTTCTATGGAACTTCATCTGATGTGGTCCCGGAGGGAGGTGGGACATGGGTAGGATTATGGACTTACTTCCAATTAATTACATAATTACTTTAAAATATGCCAGGTACTGTAATCCCAGCACTTGGGAGGCAGAGGCATAGTCATGTGTTCCAGGATAGTCTGGGCTATATCATGAGATCCTGTCTCCAAAAGAAAAAAATAAGGCCAGCGCAATGATTCAGCAGGAAAAGCTTTTGCTGCATTGTGCCAGCTGGGACCTGAGTTCCATCCCCAGAACGAACATAAAAGTAGGAGAGAACTAAGACCACAGAACTATCCTCTGGTCTCCACATGGTACTGTGGCATGTGTACCCCCCCACACACATACATCATGCACACACATAATAATAAATAATAAAATTTAAAGAGAAAGCCGGGTGTGGTGGCACATGCCTTTAATCCCAGCACTCAGGAGGCAGAGGCAGGCAAAGCTCTGTGCGCTCAAGGCCAGCCGGGGCTACAGGGAGACCCTGTCTCAAAAAGACATAAATAAATAAATAAATAAATAAATAAATAAATAAAATTACCCATAATCTTACCACTCAGACAAACATGCTCAGTAAGTGGTATAGCTCTTTGTTCTACATCTTCTATATACATATGTGCATAATTGAGATCATATTGAATAGGTTATGATAGCTTCGTAAGTGCAATTATTGTAGTCAGTCATGTCAACCACTTTGACAGGTGTTGAGAGAGCCTTACTCTGTAGCCCCAGGCTGCCCTGGAACTCACCATGCAGCCCAGCTGGCCTGAAACTGATAACAACCCTCCCGTCTCCAGTGCTGGGATTATAAGCATCCACCATGCTGAGCCCCTCAGTGGTTAAGAATAGTGGTTGTTCTTGCAGAAGACCTGGGTTCGAATCCCAGCACCCACATGGCAGCTAACAACTGTCTGTAACTCCAGTTCCAGGGGATCTGACGGCCTCTTCTATCCTCCTTGGGCATTGCACGATGTGGGTGCGCTTACCTACATGCAGGCAATACACTCATACACATAAAGATAATAAATAAAATTTTTTTAATTAATAATATATTATGTGTGCCCTTTCCATTGTTGGGCTTTCTTTGACTTTCTTTTTTGGTTTCATTTTTTGAGAGAAGGTCTATAGTCCAGGCTAGCCTCAAACTCACAGTCTTCCCACCTGCCTCCCAACTGCTGGTATTGTAGGTATGTGCTACCATACCCAGCTTCAGGTTTTGTTTTAAACAGTGTATTTAAAGGTAGTTTGGGGGCTTGGCAGATAAGATTATGTACTGCTCTTGCAAAGGACCTGAGTTTAGTTCCCAACACTCATGTTGGATGGCTCACAACCTTTACCTGTAACTTTGCCTCCAGTGGATCCTGTACCCTCTTCTGGCCTCCACACAGGCACTACACTCATTTGTATATTACTCACAGACAGATACATATAATTTTTTTGTTTTTGTTTTTGTTTTTGTTTTTGTTTTTACTACAGGGTCTCCCTGTAGCCCCAGCTATCCTGGAATTCACTATGTAGACCAGGCTGGCCTTGAACTCACAGAGAGCCACCTGCCTCTGCCTCCTGAGTGCTGGGATTAAAGGCGTGCGCCACCACGCCCGGCTACATAATTATTTTTTTTTAAAAAATAACTTTAAAAATGATAGCATAGGAACAGGAGAGATAGCTCAGCTGTTAAGAGCACTGGCTATTCTTAGACGAGGACCTGGGTTTGGTTCCCAGCACCCATGGCCGCTAACAACCATCCATAACTCCAATTCCAGGGGACTCAATGCCCTCTTCTAACCTCCATGGGCATTGTAAGACACAGGTGCACTTACATACATGCAGGCAACATACTCCTACACATAAAATAAAAAATAATTAAGAATAAAATATTTTAAAAATAAATTTTTTTTAATTTTTTTTTTAAAAAAAAGGAACTTGGGGCTGGAGAGATGGCTCAGCGGTTAAGAGCACTGACTGCTCTTGCAGTGGACCCAGGTTCAATTCCCAGCACCCACATGGCGACTACTAACCATCCTAACTCCAGTACCAGGGGAATCCAACACCCTCTTATGACCTCAGTGGCATTGCACTACATGGGTGCACTCAAGTACGTGCAGGCAATACACTCATACACATAAAATAAAAATAATAAATAAAAAAATATATTTTTTTTTTAAAAAAGGAACTTTGTGGGGCTGGAGAGATGGCTCAGTGGTTAAGAGCATTAGCTGTTCTTGCAGAAGACCCAGGTTCAAATCCCAGCACCCACATGGTGGCTAACAACCATCTGTAACTCCAGATCCAGAGGATCCAACACCCTCTTCTGTCCTCCACAGGCATTGTACAACATGGGTGCACTTGCATACATGTATCCAATACATGGATACACATAAAAATAAAGCAAAAAAAAAAAAGGAACTTTGGAGCCAAACTGGCTAGGTGTGGACACTGACACTGTCAGTCCTGGGCTGTGCTGCCCTGGGCACATTGTTTGCTATCTCTGTGCCCTCATGAACTCCATTAGTGAATGTAAATACAACAGAGCTTGCCAGAGTGGGGGCCAAAGGCCAAATGCATGCAGACTGCTTCAGATCTGCAGGCAGCCGTAACCATGTGGCAGATGGTGGCTACAGTTGTCTTGTTGCTCTAGCAGAAAGAGGGAAGCTTTAAGAATTCACATTCTGTCCAATACTGATCATGTTTAGGCATCTACTTTCTTTGTGGGCTTCAGATAAACTGAAAGTCTCAGAAAACAGAACAGATTGTACACTGACCTCGGATCTGGGCCTCGGGTGTGCCTCAGGCATGGTAAAACCCTCTGCTGGCTTTAGTGACTTGGGTGACTGGGTGGGAGGTTCCCAGGAAAAAAGCTGGTTTTGTAGATAAGCTGAAGTGTTAGCCTGGCCTAGTGGCACCCACCTTTAATCCCAGCACTCAGGAGGCAGAGGCAGGCAAATCTCTGTGAGTTCCAGCTTGGTCTACATAGTGAGTTTCAGGCTAGTTGGGGCTGGCTACAGGGAAACCCTGTCTCAAAAAGAAAGACAAAAAACAAAACAAAACAAAACAAAACAGAAAAGCTGAGGTGTGTCCTTTGGGGCTGCTGGTTAGAGACAGTACTACCCACAGGCATTTGGATGGAGGGGACTGGAGCCCCAGAGAGAGATCTGAGCTGGAGGATTTGGGGACAAGGAGCATGATTGAGAGCCCCAGGGTACAGGGTGGGGGGAGGGGCACTGCAGGGATGATCCTTCTGGAGATGCCAAGGGGAACTGGATGCACTGGGAACAGTCTTTAAAGGGAAGAGGAGCTTTCCAGCTAGGACTTTTCTAGGACTGGTGGTTCTTGCCTGAGGGAGACCACAGCAGCAGAAGTGGAACAGAGGACATGTTGAGAAAGGAAGGAAGTTTCAGAACATCATGCAGGCACTTCCCTCCTGTCGTTTGTGATAACCACAGACGTGAGACAACATGTGAGGATTAGTACCCTGCACTGCTAAGGGCCCCAGGGGTAAAATGAGAGCTGCCTATGTGCCGCCCTGTACCCACGGTCCTGGCAGGCCTTGAGCCTATCATACTGTCTGACCGAGTCATCCTCAGGGGACAGGGAAGGGGAACATCCTGAGCACTGTCAAAGGTTATGTCCTCTCATTGAATTGTTGGGGCAAGTCTATAAAGTGCTGCTGTGTGGTTAAGTTCCTGAGTCAGGTCTGACGCTCAGTCCCACCACCTCAGCTCTGTGGTTTTTGTTGCTTACCCCTTGGAATCCCAGTTCTACTCCCTGTCTAATGAGACTCATCATGGTGCTTACTTCGCTGGCTTTTGTGAGGATAAAATGTGTGCAGTGCATTACAGCATTGCTCTTAGAACTTGGCCCAGAAAGGGCTGGGCCAGTGTTTGTTCATCATCCCTGTGGCAGCAGATGAGGAAACTCGAGGATAGCTGGTTGCTCAGTGCTGTCCTACCAGGCAAGGCTTTATGACAATCACCCCTGTGCTGGCTGGGCCATTCAGAATGGAGCTTTGTTGGTTACGTTTCTCATTGGTGGGACAAAATACCTAACTAAAGTAACTTAAGAAGGACCCATTATGGCTCACAGTTTAAGAACAGGCGTCTGGGGATAGCATGGTGGCAGGGGCTGCTTGTGTGCTCACAGTCAAGAAGCAGAGAGGTGAACGCTGGTGCTCAGCTTGCTTCCTCCTTTTTGTTCAGTCTGGGACCCCAGCCCATGGGATGGTGCCGTCCACATTCAAGGTGGGTCTCCCTCTTCAGTTAAACCCTTCTAGAAACAACCTTATGAACTCACCCAGAGGAGTGTTTCCATGGTGATTCAAAATCTAGTAAAGTTGACAATGAAGATCAGCCACCCTAGGAGCCAGCTCTACACAGAATATTGCTCCAAACAGAGTTGTTGGATTTATGAAACAGAGGGGCTTCTTCCAGGAGCAGTGGCCACCTGGACAACATCAGTAGGTAGAGAGCACTCTATCCCAGAGGAGATATCAGCTAGGATTAAGAAGGCACTTTGACCTGAAGTTGGGCTCTCTTTACCCTCCTACACCCAAAAGGGCACCGGTCACAAGCCTCAGGGCATGCTAGTATGCAGCAGTGACAGTCACCCTACCCAGCCAGTGCCTTTGCCTATGAGATGTGCCCCTTGGATCCCTCTCCAATTTTTGTGGTTTGTGAAATCCATATAAGGGAACCCAGTACATAGTGGTGCTTAGTACACACCAACCCCATCATGATGCTCAGTATTCTTTTTGGGATACCTATGCTCTTTCATTTCAGATGGGGAAAGTAAGAACTAGGAAGGGAAAATGACTAGCCCAGGGTCCTTTGTACCGACGTCTTAGTAATAACCAAATGCCCAGGTCATGTTTCAAGAGTGCCAAATGTTCATTTAGTCTCTGCTCTTAAGGTAACTGATGAATGTTTCCTCTCATCAATGCATGAAAGGACAACCCCATTCTCTTCTTATTCTGGACCCACCTATCAAGAAAGAAAAATAAAAACCTGGATCTTGTTTTAAGACAAAGTTTCAGACTAAATGTTTTTTTCTTTCTTTGAAAAGATCAACAAAATTGACAATTTTTTCGCTAGATCAGGTCAAGAAAAGGAGAAAACTTAAAATGGTAAAGTCAGGAACCAAAAGGGTCGTTATTACCAACCTTGAGAATATGAGGCCTGGGATGGTGGCACATACCTGGGATCTCAGCACTTGGGAAGCTGAGAAAAATGGGAGTTCACAGTGAGTGTCTGTCAGAAAGAGGGGAGAAAGGGAGGGAGGGAGGGAGGGAGGGAAGGGAAGGAAGGGAAGGAAGAAAGGAGGAAAGGAAGGAGGGAAGGAAGGAGGGAGGGAAGGAGGGAAGGAAGGAAGGAGGGAGGGAAGGGAGGGAGGGAGGAAAGGAAGGAGGGAAGGAAGGAGGGAGGAAGGGAGGGAAGGAGGAAAGGAAGGAGGGAGGGAAGAAAGGAAGAGGAGGGAAGAAAGGAAGAAGGAAGGAAGGAAGGAAGGAAGGAAGGAAGGAAGGGAGGGAGGAAGGAGGGAGGGAGGAAGGAGGGAGCTGGGTGTGGGGTATGCTTAAGATATATTATGTGAAATTGTCAAAGAACAGTGCTGGAGAGATGGCTCAGTGGTTAAGAGCACTGACTGCTCTTGCAGAGAACTCAGGTTCAATTCCCAGCACCCACACAGCAGCTAACAACCATCTATAACTCTAGTTCCAGGGGATCTGACTCCCTCTTCTGTCCTCTGTGGGCATTGCACGACATGGGCTGCCCTTACCTACATGCAGGCAATACACTCATACACATAAAATAAAATAATAAATAAAATTTTTAAAAATTGTCAGAATAAGCAAAATATTAAATATACGTATATATAATAAAAAAGGGAAAAGAAGCATAGTATGTGGAAGGGGATAAGTGAGACACAGAAGGGTGAGGGTTGGGGTGGTGGCTGTGAGGATGCACCACACAGCGTGCTGTGTATAGGAGAGCTGTAGACGGTTGGAGGCCTGCAGGTGAGCTACAGCAGGCGGCAGGAAGGGCAGCAAGGTTGCCAGCCTCTGTTCCTCCTTCTCCTTTCAGAAACACCATGCACAATATCTGTGGCAACAAGCCGGCCCAGGCAGCAGGCCACGGACCACTAGTAGAAGAGTCTTCACAGAGCGGGGAGCATCAGAAAGGGGAGCAGCCCTTGACCCATGATGCCAGCACCCCAGGTGAGCTCTGTCCAGGTCTGAGGCCAGGTCCTCTCTCCTCCCTGTATGCATCCCAGTCCACTTTGCTATAACAGAATCCCATAGACTGTGCAGCTCAGACAGTAGACATTTATTAGTGAGATGGGGGCTGGGAAGGCCAAGTTAAGATGCTGCGGATTCTGATCCCAGTGAGGCCTTGCTTCCAGACAGCTGCTGCTCGCTCTGTGCTCAGATGAGAGCTCTCATCTCTTCCTCTTCTAAGGGCACTAATCCTTGCACAGGGCTCACACCCTCATCTCAGTTACTCTAAGGCCCCACCTCCCAGTGCCTCACATGGTGACTGGAGCTTCAGCCTAGGGTTTGGAGAATGCGAGCATTCATTCAGTTCTTAGTGGCATGTCAAAGATGAAATCCTCCAGCTCTCTCCTGGGTTTCCAGAGGTTGAGGAACAAGAAAGTATTATTTTTCTTTTCCTTTTTTTGGTCTTTTTGAGACAGGATCTCCCTGTAGCCACAGCTGGCCTGGAACTCATGTACACCAGGCTGGCCTCAGTCCCACAGAGCCTTGCAAGTGCTGGGATTGCAGGCATGCATCACCATGTTGGGTTTAAAGACTTTTTATTATAGTAAGATATGTGTAACAAAGTTAGCCATTTTACTGCTTTTTAGTTATTCACTCAGTGGCACTGTTTATTCATTTGTCATGTGACCATCACCACCATCCATCCATCTCTAAAATTTCTTCAACCTTCCCACCAAATCTTCTAGTAATGATTCTTGAATAAAGCCAATCTCTCTCTCTCTCTCTCTCTCTCTCTCTCTCTCTCTCTCTCCTTAATGGGGAAAGGGTATACTTTTGGCTTGAGGTTGTGGACAACGGAGCTTAGGTGGTCAGTGTTTTACTGTGTTTGCCCATCCTAACATCAACATTTCTCTTCTTGAGCAGGAAAAGAGCCAGAGGAGTCTCCCAAACCTGTACCCAAGTCCTCCCTGCCCACCAGTCTCATGCAGAAACCCAAACGCCAGAGCAACACCTTTCCATTCTTTTCTGATGGGCTGGCACGGAGCCGAACAGCCCAGGAGAAGGTGGTGGCCTTGGAGCAGCAGGTACTGGTGCTCACCAAGGAGTTAAAGTCGCAGAAGGTGAGCCCCAGTCCTTTCCTGAGCAGCCCAGCCCCCTAGGAAAACACCCCCCATCCCCACTCCATCCCCTCATGAGCCCCTGGACTTTGAGCTTTGCTGATGGCTCAGTGTGGTACATTAACACATTAACACAGTCCAGCCTTTTCTGTGGTCCTTAAAGGACAACTGTTGGGGGTTGAAGGTACCACACTGCTGATCACTCAGGGGCATGCTGTTGCCCACACTAGGTGACAGAAGGCAGGAATCCTACTTAATAATTGACTCTTGGCTGCCTCCTAGAGAGACTTGGGTGGTCTGACCCAATACAAAACAAAGACAATGTTTCAAGGGCAAGATTTGGATGTAGGGTCTTGGGAGGGGTCACTGGTGCACAGGCTGTAGATACCTGAAGGACTGCATAGGACAGAGAAAGCTGGCAGGATGTGGCCCTGGGACTGAGCCAGGAGCATCAGAACAGTGCTGGGAGTGAAATTTAGATTTCACATGAGGAGAAGTTCATTGTAGGAGTTACAGAAAGGAAGAGCCATGTAGCACTGTGGAAAACAGGTTGCAGATACTTAAAAATCATTCAAGGTCAGGTGTGGTGGTGCACGCCTTTAATCCCAGCACTTGGGAGGCAGAGGCAGGTGGATGGATCTCTCTGAGTTCGAAGCCAGCCTGGTCTATATAGCATGTTCCAGGCCAGCTGGGACTACAGGAAGACCCTATCTCAAAAAAAAGATTCAAAAACACTTCAGCTTAAGAGTAAGGTTTGTTTACATCTAGGGTCTGCTCCTTGAAGTGGTGAGGGTGGGTGGCAGGGACTTAGGAGGCCAGCAGCACTGGGCAGGCACCTCTCCTTAGCACCATGAAACTGAAGACAGTAACACTGTTATTACCATAAAGCCCAGACTGGGTCTTGTGGGCCTCCGGTGCTGGGCTGCTTTTTGCCTGAGAGGAAGGCCCAAGCTTGTGTTTGAGCTTTGGCCGCCCCAAGTCCCATTGTGCTTTCTTCCCGGGACCTTGCTTCACGGGATGCAGGCTGGGGGTGTAGCATGTACCCGGTCCTGCTGAATCTTCCCTCCCCTGTACATTTCTTCTTGTGCTTTCTGCTCTGTTTGAAGAGAAGACAGTTCAGAAGAGTGCTCTCTGCCTACCTAACTTTGCCCCTTCTTGACCTTTCTTGCCCCAAAGTAGTGACTCCCGTGAACAGATCTCAGGGGTTTGGACAGGCTTCATTCCTGATAGGCCAGGAATTATGATTAGCGAAGCAGCTGGTGTTTAGAGGGGTCCATCCACTGATGCATCTTCACTGCAGGCCTATTACATGCATGTGGTGTGATGGTCCCAGAGAAAATGAGTGAAGGTCACAGACCCAAGCCTTACAGGGCTTACAGTTCATAGCAGAGCAGAGATGGGGCAAATCAACATCCAGATATGTTCTTGCTATCTGTGGCATTTCCTGTGAGGCCATAGCAATGATGGAGAGACAGTTGGGTCTTCCTGGAGTCATCATGGTCATCCTGTCATGAGAATGTTTAGTCAAGCTGTAGTGGCATGATCCTTGGTCTAGTATAGCTGATGCCCCTAAGCCAGACCTAGAAGAGTGGGAAAAACCCTGATTGTAAACACTGCCTGTCCTGCCACCACATGTCCCCTTCTTTCTAGAACACATGGGCAGCCCCCTTGACTTAACCTTTCTTTCTAAAACATGACAAATGGTCAGAGGTAGTGGAAAGGCCCTCAGAGAACAGTATACCTCTAGAGGGCTCCCTGCCTTTCATAACTGAAGAGGGTACTCTCAGAGGTTTTATAAGAGTTATCAGCTTACAAACAGCTCCCATCAGTCAGAGAGAAAAAGTCATGATCCCATCTAGTCAGAGGGAAAAGCTCATAAGAAAGTTGCTCAGGCCTTTAAAAACTGGATTTTACTGGGTAAACCTAGACTTTCTTTCAGGGGCAGAGGGCTAGGAGAACAGGCCTTGAGGTTTAACCTTTGGCTTGTATGAGTTCACGTTCCTATTCCCAGCCCATCTCATGCATGCACGTCTGTCTAGCAGTGATTCTCAGCACAAGCCCAGATTCTGGCTGTGAGAGTATCACCCTCTTGGCCTGTTTCCTTTAGCAGGTAGAGTTATAGGTCTTCTTGCTGGAGAGGTCTGGATCTAGATCCTAAAGCCAGTGCCTGGGACCACACAGGTGCCCCACAGATCGGGGTGTGGTTATTGAGCTATTACCTTGGCATTCCCAGCCCTTGGTGTTGGGAATTCCCTGCCTTATGAGGAGCAGCTCCCCTCCTGCAGACTCAGAAGATGGTGAAATGACCCTATCAGAGCTTCTGGGATGTGTGTTCATGGTCCAGCAGTGATGCAGGCGTGCAGGTCTTCATTCACTTAGCCCCAACAGCTCTGAGGGTTCACCCACAGCCCAGGCACCAGAGGAAAAGGTGAGGAGAGCAGGAGGCTAGCTTTTGGTCCTGAAGTCGGGCAGAGGAAGATGAGGCAGAGAAGCTAGTCCTTTGGGTACCCAGTGGTACCCAGGCACCAGAAGCCCTGGGTGAGGAGAAACTCATGTTACACCCTCAGAGTCCAACTCATCAGGAGGAAAATGGCCCCTGGCCTTTCTCAGGGACCACCCCTGTGAGATGCTACCCTGTGGTAAGGATCTCTAGCATGAGGACATAGCAGCATGTCCCAGCTCAACCAGCCAAGTAGAAGGACAGAAATGGATTCAGTGATCCTATAGGAATTTATGCCTCAAATTTTGTGTTATGGGGAGTGTACTAGGATCAAGTCCCCGCCCTCTAGGACTCCACCATCCAGTAGAGAAGAGAAAAAAGAGTGTGGTAACTGCCGGTGTTATTGGCCTCAGCACAGCCCAACTTTCTGTGTAACAGTTCTAGTTCTTACCACAGTTGCCACTCCCCTTGAGGAAAAAACAGAGTCTGAGAGCTTTCCATACCGAGGCTTCCCAGGAGCTGAGTCAGGGCTCAGGCTCTGATCTGTCTATGACTGGAGCCTCTGTTCTTTCACTGAGCCATGCTTGAGGGTCTTAGGAAGTAAGTGACTTGCCTGAGGTCTGCTGCAGGCCCAGGATGCTGCTCACAGCCCAGGCTGCCTCCTTTCTCCCCTAGTCTTATGGCCCAGCATCACTCACAAGCACCAGGACTGCTCTTTGGAAAGCATGACTGCACTCTCGACACCTCCCAATGTCAGATGAATCCATAGAAACTTTGATACCCATTAAGCCATTATCCATCTGGGCAGCCCCAGTACTGGCCCCATAGAGGTTTGGACTCCAGGAGATGGCCCCAGATGGCTAGTTGGCCAGGTGCCTCAAGCTTTCATCAAACTAACAGCTACCCACTCTGAAGGCTATCTGCTCTAGCAGATGGCAGACTGTTGACTGGTGTTGACCATCTGTTGGCTGCTGGGAAGGTTAAACCCCACTGGGACCACCTACTCTCACTCAGGATAACCTGGTCATTTGTTTAGGAAACTTGATGGGGGTGGGGGTAATCCTATGATCCCCTTCCCTGGAACTCCAGCCAGAGACTTCAGAATGCCCATTCTCTGACCCTCAGCTTTGACATGGAGGGAAGGCTAGGACACAGCCTGGCCTTTCAGTTTGAGGAGGGTCTCTTAACTCTTTCTCCCATTCTTGAAGCAATTCTGCATGGAGCTGAGGTCTTTGTCTTTAGCCTAATTTTGGAAAAAGCTGAGGTTCTGTGAAGTGGCCAGCTTAATACCACCCTATTAGATCAACCCCCTGGATCTGTTAGCCTGTTGTTTGTGACTATAATGATATGCCTAAGTAAGGCTGCTTTATGAAGAGAAGGTTTATCTGTCTTCATGGTTCTCCTGAGTGCTGGGGTTGCAAGTGTGTATGAACAAGCCTGGTTAATGTTACGCAAGTACTTTACCACCATAAACTGTGAGGCTGAATAGGATGGCCCTCTTAAACTTTTTCTTTTGAATTTTTTATTTCTTTATTTTTTATCTTTATTTTTTAAATATTTTATTTATTATTTTTATTTTATTTTTTTTATTTTACTTTATTTTTTTGTCTTTTTGAGACAGGGTCTCCCTGTAGCCCCAGCTGTCCTGGAACTCACTATGTAGACAGGCTGGCCTTGAACTCACAAAGATCTCCCTGCCTCTGCCTCCCGAGTGCTGGGATTAAAGGCGTGCGCCACCACGCCCAGCTTTTATTATTTTTATTTTATGTGTATATGTGTATTGCCTGCATGTAGGTAGGTGCGCCCATGTTATGCAGTGCCTGCGGAGGACAGAAAAGGCTGTCGGATCCCCTGGAACTGGATTTACGGACAGTTGTTACCTGCCATGTGGGTGCTGGGATTTGAACCCAGGTCTTCTGCAAGAACAGTGTTCTTAACCACTGAGCCATCTCTCCAGCCCCACTATTTGCATTTTTTTTTTTAATTTTCTTGCAGTGCTGGGGATGGAACACAGGGCCTTGTGAGTGTTAGGCAGGCAGTCTCAGACCTGTCTGCATTCCTAGCCTGCAATTTGCATTTTAAAGTGCATTTGTTCATTATGGATTTTTGCAGTAATTTTTACTTTTAAAAAATATTACACTAAGGAGCTGGAGAGATGGCTCAGTGGTTGAGAGCACAGACTGCTCGATTCCCAGCATCCACATGATGGCTATGAACCTTCCTTAACTCCAGTTCCAGGGGAATCCGAAGCCCTCTTCTAACCTCTGCAGCATTGCATGACACAGGTGCACTCACATACATGCAGGCAATACACTCATACACATAAAATAAAAATAATAAATAATTTTTTTTTTTTTTGGTCTTTTTGAGACAGGGTCTCCCTGTAGCCCCAGCTGTCCTGGAACTCACTATGGAGACCAGGCTGGCCTCAGACTCACAGAGATCCGCCTGCCTCTGCCTCCCGAGTGCTGGGATTATGCCACCATGCCTGGCATAAATAAAATATTTTTTTTAATATATATATATATATATATTAAAAAAAATATTTTATTTATGCCAGGCA